TCTGCCTCACCTCAGGTACGCCGCAGTCGTCCTGCGCACTTTCGAGAGCCATCACGAAACAGTTTTTTTTTTAGAATCCTGCCACTCTGCATGTTTTGGTACTGGGGTACTGTAGTGCGAGAAGCGGAGTCGCTATGTAAGGAAGATTCAGCGGAATGCCTTCATGAATTTGTAAGAGATATCTGGAAAATCTCCGCAGAAGAAGCCAGAACTCATGGTCTGTGACTTCTTTCATAATAAGCCCAAGTAGGGTTTGGGTTCCAGGGGGTTTAGGGATGGGACTTGTTTCTGGGCTGCTGTGAGGAACTTTCCGATGATAGATGGGACTGCGGCTTGGTAGTTGAATAGTTACAATAGGGCTTTTTGGGGGTTTTTACAGTATAAAGTAGCGGTAATTATTCCGGCCCCTAAATTAGAAGCATCTGGAACTCATGGTGGGGGTTTGCATCCGGGCTTTGATTGAGGACCTTCCCGAAGATTGATGGGACGTGTGGGGCTTCTCCGTACGAAATCATACAAGTAGGTGTCTCACAGCCTGGAAGCTCCAGAACGCTTGATAAGGCATGTCGCTTAAATGAAGGGTTCTGTAGGGGATCTACATCTGGCGCGATATGCTGCATGGAAAATCTCCCTGTGAAAGGGCGGGTGCTACAGGTCGCTGCGTGTCTGTATTGGGGGAGACTAAGCTTCATGAGGCAGGGGTTTGGGTTTTTGGGGTTTAGGGTTAAGGGTGCAGCATGGTGGGTTGTCTGAAGGGTGAACAAGTCGCTCCAGGTGTTCAGAGCTTCAGAAGGGGAAGCAGCAGATTTGCGGGAGCACTGGTTGCCCAGTGCATCTCCACGGTTTAGGGTTTGGGGTTGGAGTTTAGGGTTTTTCGTTTTTGTTCCTCCGAGTGTTTAAGTCTGTTGCTTTATGAGCGAGGAAACCGTGAAAGACGAGGAGGAAGAGGAACAAAAACGCTATGCACTTCGATCATCCCCACCCTTCAGCTACCCGAAGTAGGAGCCATCCATCCTTTTCCGGATCCACTTACGGATGCTTCGGCTTCTTCAGCCGACCATCCTGTCGTCATCCGGCACCATGGGTGCCGACGCCATATTCTTCGGGAATACCCTCTCGACTCCCTGTCTTCGTGCTCGACTGGCCAGTGCCGAGAACTCTGCCTGGTTTGGGGTGTTGAATGGCGCTCTAGGCAGTGTCTTCTTTAGTTCCTCCACTTTCCACGCATACTTAATCGTAGGCATGGGGGGAAGCAACATCTTATCCCGGGAGTTGGGCTTGAAGTACTCTTTCCTGTGTTAGTCAGCTGGCTCTTGAATTTCATGGCGCGGTGATATCCGTCAGCATCGGGTGATGGTGACTTCGTATCTTGCTGACAGTCTCAAGCTGCCTCCAGGAACTATTGCTGACACCACTCCCAAGCTTCCCTGAGAAGGGTGGGGGTCATTACCTGAGTCTGGCAGACACCTGTAGACGTAAATATCGGGTGCGAGAAAAGCTCCAAGAACGATGCTGACTCGCTCACTTCCAAAATCGCATGGCCCTTAGGGTTGAGCACGCCAATATTCGACCTAACCAGTTCAATATCAAGGATCGTCGCGACGCCACTGGGCCTTCCAATTCCAGTCGATATCCTCCCGGTTTCGATGTGACACCAGCTCTGACTGCAAGCCGCCAATCTTCTGCCGGGCTCACGTTTGCCATCTGCCACGGCGTTCTTATCTATCCCAGTCAGTCGATCACTCACTAGCCTCCATTTGATATTCGCATGTGTTTCCTTCACTCTCATTGCAGCAACTGCTTTCTATCCGGTCCTGCGTCCTTGTATATCAGTGCTACAATCATGTGCGAACACCATTCCCCGGTAACAGGCGATATATGAAGGGTTCGGTTGCAACACAAAGGGGCCAAGGCGGCCAAGGTTGTTCCCTTAGCGGTTTCTCGGAGGCACGGTGGGCATGCAGTGAATTCGGGCTTGACCTTGATCACCATGCACTCAAAAATCCTGTCATATAGGGGTCGGAATTATTATTATGATTTTTTACCTTATGGTCCCTTTATACTTATATGGTAATGACCCCCCCAAGACCCGATTTTAATTATCAAGGCCCCTCGATTATCTGTCCCCATCCTGGCCGATCGACATCTTTCACCATGCTTGCAACCTTGCGCGCTCCCTCTTGCAGATCTCCATCTCTACAGATCGAGCTCAAACTCGCGCATGTATGGGGTTTGGGTTTAGGGTTTAGGGTTCAGGGTTTAGGGTTCAGGGTTCTTCAAACCGCACAGCTTTCCAGAATGCTTGCACGAGCGGCGTGGTGATTGTTATTCGACCCCTCCTCCTCAAGTATACCTCTCCTCCCATCATCGCGTACATCCTCAGATCCGCAGCTATCCCAATGGCGTCCTGTTGGGTTCATATTCCAGGGCGGTTTAGGGTTTAGGGTTAGGGTTTAGGGTTTAGGGTTTAGGGTTTAGGGTTTAGGGTTTTGGGTTTTGGGTTTCTGGTTTTTGGGTTTTGGGTTTTGGGTTTTGGGTATTGGGTGTGTGCTCCGCGTTGTACTTGCCCTAACCTAGAACCCAATGTGAACAGAGGTCTGGCCCGAATAAGCAGACTCACCAAAAGACAACATCTATAGGGAGATCTCTAGATAGGTGCAGAGCACTATGGAGATACCGCCAAACTCATCCCTACTCAATACAGGGAGGGATCCAAGACCCAAGATTGCAGGGGCGAGGTCTGGAAGCAATCTTGAACCCTGTAGGGGGTAGGGTTTAGGGTTTAGGGATTGGCTATATGATTACTGAAAGGCAGTTCAGTATTCGATGCAGGGGAACCAAGATCCAAGATTGCAGGGAAAAGTTTGGATCGTGGATCCCCCCGCTCACCATGCTGAGCTGAAGAAGCCACATTCAAACCCTAAACCCTAAACCCTAAACCCTAAACCCTAAACCCTAAACCCTAAACCCTAAACCCTAAACCCTAAACCCTAAACCCTACACCCTTAACCCTAAACCCTAAACCCTAAAACCTTAACCCTCAACCCTCAACCCTCAACCCTCAACCCTCAACCCTCAACCCTCAACCCTCAACCCTCAACCCTCAACCCTCAACCCTCAACCCTCAACCCTCAACCCTCAACCCTAAACCCTAAACCCTAAACCCTAAGCCCTTGACCCTAAACCCTAAAGAAAAGCCGTGGGCAGGACATCGAGCGCGAGGCAGAGGAGGCAAAGCTGGCCGCAGAGGAAGCGGCGAAGAAGGCTGGGTGTTCTCCGGCCCGTGGGGGTCTAGGGCAGTGGGGGTTTAGGGTTTAGGGTTTATAGGGGTTAGGGGTTAGGGGTTTAGGGGTTAGGGGTTTAGGGTTTAGGGTTTCTTGGGGTTAGGGTTTATAGGGGTTAGAGATAAGGGTTTAGGGTTTAGGGTTTCGGGTTTAGGGTTCAGGGTTTAGGGTTTAGGGTTCAGGGTTTAGGGGGTGAAGGCTGTGGTGTAAGGGCCTAGCATGCAGGGTTGTGGCTACTCAGCTACTTGTTGGCCGTCTGCGGCCTACGGCCACGGGGGCTTCTTCCGGAATGATGGGCTTAGGTTTTAGGGTTTCGGGTTTAGGGCTAGGGGCTTAGGGTTTCGGGTTTAGGGTTTAGGGTTTAGGAGTTTAGGCTTCGCAAGCCGGAGATCTAACATCAGAACGGAGGACCCCTTCAGTGCCCTTCAGTCCTGTAATCGAAGGGTGCATAAGATCCAGAACAAGCCCCAAGCCTTGAGCCCCTAAACCCCGAAAACCCTATAACCCCATAACCCTAAAACCCTATAACCCTAAACCCCAAACCCCAAACCCCAAACCCTAAACCCTAAACCCTAAACCCCAAACCCTACGCCTCCACCCCCTTAAACCCCGAAACCCTTTCTTCAGGCGGAGGAGGCGGAGGCAGCCTCGGCAGTGAGGGGCCGAGAGGGTTTTAGGGTTTAGGGTTGAGGGTTTAGGGTTTAGGGTTCAGGGTTTAGGGTTTAGGGTTTAGGGTTGAGGTGTTAGGGTTCAGGGTTTAGGGTTTAGGCTTTAGGGTCCAAGATGGTTCTCAGGTGAGCCGTGCGGTGACTGTTGGTGAGGGTTAGGGGTTTTAGGGTTTAGAGGCTTAGAGTTTTGGGATTAGGTTTAGGGTTTTAGGGTTTTTGGGGGGTTTAGGGGTTCTAGGGTTCTAGGGTTTAGGTAGGTTTAGGATTTTGGGTTCAGGGTTTAGGGTTTAGGGTTCCCTACACCAAGGGTCGCTGGCTGCGCATTCAGTTTTTACCTTTCTTCGCAGTGTCGGCTTCCAATCGGGTTTAGGGTTTAGGGTTTAGGGTTTAGGGTGCGGTGAGGCGAATGTCCAAAGTGCTCGCCGTCAGCACAGCGCTTAATGATGATGGCCTGGACGTGGAATGTGCCAGCATGAACCCTAAACCCTAAGCCCTAAACCCTAAACCCTAAACCCCAAAACCCCAAACCCCAAACCCCAAACCCTAAACCCTAAACCCTAAACCCTAAACCCTAAACCCTAAACCCTAAACCCTAAACCCTAAACCCTAAACCCTAAACCCTAAATCCTAAACCCTAAACCCAGGAGTCAGAGTACCATTGCGATTGGCAAAACACGCAGGGTGCCCGCAGAGTCACATGCACCTTGTTTTTTCCATGGTGACAGGGATCCTAATCTCACTTAATGATTCGAGGATTTTTAGGGTTTAGGGTTTAGGGTTTAGGGTTTAGGGTTTAGGGTTTAGTGAATGAGGGATCCCTGTTGTGAGTCACGGAATTCCCCAATCACGGGGCCTCTGGCCAAACAAAACCTATACCCGGACCACTTAAACCAGTCATCTCCGAGTCCCTGCACCCCGAAGGGTTTAGGGTTTAGGGTTTAGGGTTTAGGGTTTAGGGTTTAGGGTTTAGGGTTTAGGGTTTAGGGTTTAGGGCCACGCCCGCTCTTCTTCGCAGTGTCGGCTTAGGCTTCCAATCTCACTCGATGCAATGTGCGTGAGCCGCATGTCCAAAGTGCTCACCGTCAGCACGGCCCTCAACGATGACGGCAGCCTCGACGTGGAGTGCGCCAGCATGGCAGGGCGGAGGCTACGTGTAATCACTCTGCCACAGGAGTCCACCATTGAAGACGTGGTAGACGCTCTCAAAAACCGATTAGGGCTCCCAAAAGCTTATTTTGACGTGTACGCCGCTGGCGAGATCATCGTGGACCGGCGCCAGCTGGCGTCCGACAGGCAGTACATCATGTCAGAAGACGCCTACGGGCCGGCCAGAAAGTTTCTGGCAGCGCTTTCCAAGAAGGCTTTCCACCCTAAATGCCGCCATTTCGATGTGAATTGGACAGAGAGAACAGCGCCGGATGTGGATCAGGCGGACGTGGCACGCTTCTTGGAAGGCTTGGGTGTATCCAGCCGCGCAGAAACTGAGAGGCTCATGCGAGTTTTTGGACGTCTCACGTCCGTTGCCGAAAACTGGAACATGTTCGACCTTGCACTGCTGCAGAACTTCGACCCTGGCATGAACACCTTCAAGCATGCCCTGTGCGACAGCTGGCTGCAGGTGGCGCGGAGCGCCGCCAAGCAAAAGGTGTCGCGGGATGCCTCTCCACTGTTCCTGCCCTGCGTGAATGAGCACGGCCGAATGATCAGGGTTTCGCTCTTTGGCGCGGACGGAACCTTTCCTGAGTCTGTCGATAGAGGCTTGCAGGATTCGCTGTCTTTGTCAGATGTGCGGCCGTGTCATAGCCTGCACGAGTTGATGTTTGCAGCAGCCTCCTTGCAGTGGGACGCAAATCACGCGCAGGTCTCGCGCGAGGTGGTAGAGGAGGCTTTTCATCTTTTCGAGCAACATCGGCAGTGTGACATCGTCTTGGAACCGCGCCCAACCCCAGAGGACGTGGTGAGAATGGCCCACGTCCAGCTACTTCTGTCCTGCAACGTAGGTCCTGTGAGGGTGGAAGGAAGCCTGCCGCCCAACTTAGTTCAGTCTGTGGCGACATTGCTGCGCTGGCACATGCGCGTGCTTCGTTTTGGCGTCGACCAGCTCACAGGTAAGGCCCTTGAGCAGTACCTCGACCAGGAGATGCAGGTAGCCTTTGAAAGCCAAGGCCGCTTCAGAGGTGTGCCCCGGCTTTAGACACCTTGTCTTCCGGTGTAGAAGTCTAGCAGTCTTGCCTCCTTTCACTGGCCTAGGTGCTCATACTGGTGCTGGATTTGCCCGACAGCCATGACCTGCTTGGGCCATGCCAGCAGTTGGGCCAGAACTTTGCCGAAAGCATGCCGGTTCCTGGTCCGGATTCGGAACATATTGTAGTCAACTTTCTGAAACGCCCTGAGCCTAAGCAGGCTAAAGCAGGGCACCTGCATGAACCCTGAGACCAAACTCTAAAAAACCCCTAACCCTAAAACGCTAAACCCAGAAACCCAGAAACCCTAAGCCCTAAGCCCTAAGCCCTAAGCCCTAAGCCCTAAGCCCTAAGCCCTAAACCCTAAACCCTAGACCCTAAACCCTAAACCCTAAACCCTAAGCCCTGTGTGGTTGAAGTTCTTGTGGTTCTTGGAAAGCCTAATGTCGCACTTTACCTGCGTCGCCAGCTGAACCGCATCTCTGGTTGTTTGAGCGATGGACGTTGACAAGCTTCCTTGGGGTTTAGGGTTTAGGGTTTATGGTTGAAATGTCTTAGTAGGAGTTATAGTAGTACAGGGTACATGACTCCAGTGCTAGGGTTCACGTGGTTCCGGGGCTTAACCCTGCGCTTCACGCGGGGGGTTGGTGGGGCGCTTAGATGGTTTCTCCCGCCCCCCCCTGGCCGTGGGGCGGTGGGTCTCGCTCCTGCGAGATGCCCGATGCGATCACGCGCTTCAGTACACTATAGCCTAGATTGTACGAATATAGGGGCCTTGATCATTAGAAGAGGGTTTGGGGGGGGTTATAAAAGAAGAAGTCTCCAGGAACCACAAGGGAAGACTGCACGTAATTATTTCGACCCTATCGTAGACTACAGTCACGAGGGCACACCATGATGAGCCCGTTCTAAGGTTCGCTTCGTCCTTTGTGCCCGGCCTCTTGGCTTGGACGGAATCCTTGAGATTGTTGAGGTTTAGGGTTTAGGGTTTAGGGTTTAGGGTTTAGGGTTTAGGATTCAGGGTTCAGGGTTTAGCGTTTAGGGTTTGGGGTTTTAGGCTGCTTGCCGAACTTCGGGAAGCGACTGAGGTGAGCAGCAGGTTGTGATCAGCTCATCCGGCCCTTCAAGACGTGTATGTGTATAGTGAAGGGCGGTGAGGTGACGCCTGATGATCAAGAGCCTCCTGCGACACGTAGTTTCAGAGTGTCCGGAGTGTGGATTTTGTAGGTACGGCAGGTGGTAACGTATGGTACTTTAACTTTAGGCCGCGAGCGCGAAGGCCCTCCGGGACTTGTACAGTGGTGGTGAGGTGAAACGCCCCTAAACCCCAAAGCCTAAACCCTAAACCCTAAAGCCTGAACCCTAAACCCTAAGCCCTAAACCCGGTGGCAAGCTATGGTACTTGATCTTCAAGCACCGGGTAGAGGAGCTAGACCAGAGGTCATCTCACCACTGACACTTTTGTAAGAGCACACCCGCTTCGTACAGACAGATGCTAAGGGATCCTCCCGATCCAGCATCAAGCGGCAGTCGACCACCGCGACTTCAAAAAGCGCAGGATCGTGCTAGTCTGCTACCCATAGCCGTCCCCCCCCCCCCCCCCCCCCCCCCCCCCCCCCACGCCAAAGCCCCTTCAACACCCAAAGCCTCCCCAAACCCCTAGGTGCCTTGCCAACTCACCCTTAAACCCTAAACCCTAACCCCAAACCTTAAACCGAAACCTAAACCCTAAAACCTACACTCTACACCCCTAAACCTAAAAACCCTAAACCCAAGTCCATCAGAGGTGGCTGCATCCGCAGCCGCAGCTCCTGCCGCTTACGGGTCGGTGGAGCCCGAGGAGGAGGTGCCAGGTTTAGGTGTTTGGGGTTGGGGGGTTTAGGGTTCGGGTTTGGGGTTTGGGGTTTAGGGTTAGGGTTTAGGGGTTTACGGCGGGGGGTCTAGGGTTGGGGGGGGTTAGGGTTAAGGTTTAGGTTTTTTTGGAGTTTCGGGTTCGGGGGTTTTGGGTTTGGGTTCAGGGTTTAGGGTGGGGGTTTAGGGCTAGGGTTGGGGGTCTATGGCTTAGGGGTAAGGGTTGGTGTTTTATGGTTTAGGGTTCGGGTTGCGGGTTTGGGTAAGGGGTTTAAGGGCTTGGGGGTTTGTGGGTTCCGGGCGGGCAAAAAAAGGGGTTGTGGGAAATTCAACACATTTCCTGGGTTTGGCCTTTTTCTAGGCTACTTTGGCGCTTGAGGTTAAAAGGCGACTACAATATACCGCAATTGCAACTTGGGGACATGGAGTGTGGAAATCCAGAGATGGTAGGGGCACAAGAGATCCAAGCTGGCACAAAGCAGCTCAACCCCCAAACCCTAAACCCTGCTAAACCTCTTCTAAACCCTCCTAAACCCTACTAAAACCTACTAAACCTACTTAAAACCCTACGAACCCTACTAAAACCCTACTAAACCCTTACTAAAAAAAACCCCTACTAAACCCTACCTAAACCCTACGAAAACCCTACTAAACCCTACTAAACCCGACTAAACCCTACACCTAACCCTAATCCTAAACCCGAAAACCCTGGAACCCTACACCCTACACCCTAAAACCTAAACCCTAAACCCGTAAACCCTAAACCCAACCCTAAACCCTAACCCTAAACCCTAAAACCCTAAACCCTACCCTAAACCCTAAACCCTAAACCTAAACCCTAAACCCTAAACCCTAACCCTACCCCCTAAAAAAAACCCCCCTAAAACCCTAAAAACCTAAACCCTAAACCTTCACCGAAATCCGAGGGCTTGTGGTTTCGAAGGCTTTTTTTGGCCCGAGCACCGGGAAAAAAGTAAGCCCATACTAAAACCCTAAAATCCAACCCTAAGCCGGGACCCTACCCTAAACCCTAAACCCTAAACTAAACCCTAAACCCTAAACCTCTAAACCTAAACTTTAATCCCCCTAAACCCTGACTAAAACCTAAAGACCTAAAGCCTAAACCCCTACCTAAACCCTAAACCTAAAACCCGAAACCCTGAAACCTAAAACCTAAACCCCTAAACCCTAACCCCAACCCAAACCCTAAACCCCAAACCCTAAACCCTAAACCCTAAAACTCTAGAGATCCCCCTCACCTACTAGGAACCAGTACGCAAGGGCGTACGAATCACAGGGGGTCGTACTCGGAAGTCTAAGGTGTTCAGGGTTAGGTTAGGGAAATATTTCGGGCCACATTCGGGCCTATACTCGACGCTTTCGGGGCAACCTGAGGGGGTAGGAGTCTTAGCCCATGATAAAAGCCTTCGTCTGCTTAGGTTTCGGGTTCAGGCGTCTAGGGGTTAGGGTCTAGGGGTTTAGGGGGCTAGGGGTTAGGGGTTTTTAGGGGCTTAGGGGTTTTAGGGGTTAGGGGTTTAGGGGTTTAGGGGTTTAGGGTTTAGGGTTTTAGGGCTTCGGCTCGCCAAGAGCAGGAAGAGGAGGGAGCGCTTTGGCGAGGAGGAGGCCCGCACGCCCCGCAGCGCAGGCAGGGCCACCTCCAGGCTAAGGAGGGTTTTAGGGGTTTAGGGGTTTAGGGTTAGGGTTAGGGTTTAGGGTTTTTAGGGCTTAGGGCTTAGGGTTTAGGGGGTTGAGGGGTTAGGGGGTTTTAGGGGTGTAGGGGGCTTAGGGTGGATTTGGGGGGTAGGGGTTTAGACGTTTAGGGGTTTAGGGGTTTAGGCTACGTCCTTAGGGATTAGGTTTTCACTCTAGGGTTCAGGGGTTAGCGCGGGGTGAGGGAAACCCTAAACCCTAACCCTAAACTAACCCTAAACCCTAAAACCCTAAAACCCTAAACCTAAACCCTAAACCCTAAACCCTAAACCCTAAACCCTAAACCCTAAACCCTAAAACCCTAAAACCGTGGTTTAATTAGGGGCGAGAAGGGTCTCAGGGGTTGAGGGAAAACAAGCGGCTTCGGCTCTGGGGCCCTGGCACTTAGGGTTCTCAACAGTAGGGCTTAGGGCATAGGGTTCGGGGTGGGTTTAGGGTTTAGGGTTTAGGGGTTAGGGTTTAGGGTTTAGGGTAAACCCCTGAACCCCAAGACGAGGCATTTCGTCCGGCGTAGACGAGGATGAGGAGGAGGCTGTGGACGAGGCTAGCCAGTCAGGGGAGAGGCAGATGGTTTGGGTTTAGGGGTGTAGGGCTTGGGCGTTTTGGGCTCAGGGGTTCAGGATTCGGGGTACAGGGTTCACGGGGGGGTCAAGGGTTCCTCAACCCTAGACCCTAAACCCGAAGCCCAGGGTGGCCCTGCGCCCTCAGGAGGAGTGGGAGCAGGCAGTGGAGAACCGCTCAAAGACGAGCTCGTGAAGCTGGAAAGGTGCTTTCTAAGGGTTTAGGGTTTAGGGTGTAGGGTTTAGGGTTTAGGGTTTAGGGTTTAGGGTTTAGGGTGGTTCCCCTACCTCCTTTCAAGGGTTCTGATGCAAAAGGCCTAATTATTGGTCAGCTGTATAGGGTATTTATGGGGTATATAAAGGGTACCTTTTACGGGCCCATACTACGGGACGATGTTAACTACCCGAAGGTGCTCCCTTTTTTTCGGAGGGAGACCGCAACTAGAAGCCCAAACCCTAAAACCTCAGGGTTTTAGGGTGAGTGCATATCAACAGATGAGGGTTGACACCAAACCCTAAACACCTAAATCCTAAACTCGAAACCCTAAACCCTAAAACCCTGAACCCTAAACCCTAAGCACTAAGCCTAAACCCGAACCCCAAAACCCAAAAAAAACCCTAAACCCTAAACGCCCTAAAACCCTAAACCCTACAATGAATTAAGGCAGCTGTGTTTCGAACGATTTGAATATGCTGGAATGGCCTGTTCCAAATGCTACAGAGAGTTGATGTTTGTCCCGAAAATGTTTCCAAGTGGTTTAGTTTAAAATGCTCCAAAAATGCTGAGGAATGCCCAAAATGCTTTCCAGATGGTCCACACATGTTTAAGTGCTCGACATGCTTCCAGCTTGGACAATGCTTGAAAGTGCTCCAATGTTCCAAATTCTTTTTCAACCATGCTCCAAAAATGCTGTACATGCTCAAAAATGCTTTGACGTGTTTGCAACATGCTCGAAATATTGGCAATGCTGCCCAAAATGCTCCAGCAGAAATGCTCCAGAACCCTGCAAATGCATAAAAATGCTCGAAAATGATGAAAATGCAGCAAAATGCTACCCAGGTGGTTCCAAAAAATGCTTTCAACGGGCTGAGAAATGTTGTTAAAATGGTTCCAAATGCTCGAAAATGCTTGAACAAATGCTGTACAAAATATTAGCAAAATAGTTATATGTTTGTGAAAATGCTCCAAAATGCTCCAAAATGCTCCCTCCAAAATGCTCCCAAAAATGCTTCAAATGCTTCAAAACTGCTCCAAAATCTCCAAAATGCTGTTGATGATTCAAAAAAGCTCCAAAAATGCTTGAAATTGCCCAAATCTTCCGGCTGTTCCAAAAAAACACTCCCGAATGCTGAAAAACGCTTCCAACATGGTAAATGCTTGAAAATGCGTAAGAAAAGAAATGCTCCAAGTTCATCCAAAATGCTCCAAGTTGTTGCAAAAAATGCGTAAATATATGCTGCAAAATGTTTCAAAACAAACACAAAATGCTCGAAGATGCTTGCGGGAATGCTTAAAATTGTCCAGATTGCTCCCGACATGCTTCAAAAAGGGCTGTAGCACAGCAGAAATGCCCAAATCATCCAAGAAAAAAGCTCAAATGCTGCAAAATTGCTTCATTCTGCTCGAAAATGTCAAGGTGTTTCCAAAAAAGCTTCAAAATGTGTTTGCTTTAATAATGCTTAGAAAATGACCTGAAATGCTCCGAGATGCTCTTGATGAATATGTGTGTGTGTGGCAGTAGGCGTTGGGGGAACGTACAGTGGACAGAGAGAGAAAGCAAGAGAACGGTGAGGAGGGGAGCGCTTGCAGGAAGCCGTCCGAGAGGAGCTCGAGGACAGAGAGTGGAAAGCGGTCTGAGAGTGAGAAGGCGGAGAGGGGGACGAGGAGGAGAGAGAGAGAGAGAGAGAAGAGAGAGAGAGGAGACGAGATGAGAGAGAGAGAGAGAGAGAGGAGGACGAGGGAGAGGGGGG